AAAATTTATAATAAATTAATTAGGTTACATTGTAACCTTAGTAAAATAAGTTAGTTCATAATAAAAATAATAAAATTTGAAATCATAGTTATAAACATTCAAATACCAAATAATAGTTAAAAAAAATATAAGACATGAATTAACCCCAATTTAAGGGAGTTGAAACTCTTGATTTTCTATTATTAATGAATTCTCTATTTTAATCTCTAAGAGTGCCCAAAAGAATGCTGCCACCAACCTACAAGCCTCCAAAAGCTTCTTATAGGATTTTAGAAAGCGTAATTAGAATAGAAATGAGACCAAAGAAATCAAAACCGTACCGTACCAGTCGATACGGTCGGTACGTACCGATTTTGAAAGTTGACTGAAACGGTATAATATTAATTTTTGTTTTGGTCAAAATTCGATCATTTCGGCCAAAATTCGGTATACTGGCCGAAATTTAGATGTACCAGCTGGTTCATTGGAATTTCGGTCGGTACACACTGCAAATTAAAAAAAAAAAAAAAAGGGATTCTCTAGCCCAAAACGATGTCGTTTTGGGGGGCTTTTTCATAACCTGCAATTGTAATACACAGAAGCTGTCGTACAATTCAATTCAAATTTAAAAGGATAAATTTCATTTTTATCCTCAACTTTAATGTCATATATAATTTTTATCCTTTAACTTTTTTATGTACTTTTTTAGTCTATTTTTCATTTTTTTTAGTCTTTTTATCAATTATTTTGGTAAATTTATCTAAATATACAAATTTTTAGTCCCTTAATTTAAAGTGGATGGACGAAAAATATACATATATTAAAAGTTGAGAGACTAAAAATGATCATTTTAAACTTATTTTTAATTTATAAGAATATTATAATTTTAAATATTAGTATCTCTTATTTTATTTTAAAATTTGATATTTAATTTATAAAAATATATATTTATAACGATAAATCCGAAACGGTACACAAAAAATTTCGATATTCGATACATACCGTTTTAGTAACAAAATCGATACGTGTACTGGTACGGTATTGACTACTTTGAGTGAGACCAACACCAAAATAATAAGTTAGGCATGGATTTTCTAAAAATCACATAAGGGATCAACACCTTTAACTAGGTGCCGACACCTTCTATTAAGCGCAGACTCATGTCGTGTTTTTGGCCTTCTCAGCCATTTCTGTTAATGGTAAAATGACATTTTTGACCCCCAACTTCTGAACTCCACACAAATTAATCCTTAACTTTTTTTATCTTTGCAATTTACTCCTAAAAATTATTATTTCTTCCAATTAAGCTCTTTTCTACACAAAAAAAAAATAAAAATTATGTAAAATAAAGTAAAATCTCATAAAAACTCATTCAAATATCAAGGGAAAAACTTTATATTAATATATATAAATTCAGCTCATCAATAAATCCAATTATAAATTTGATGGAATTGAGGGGTCAGCTGCGTTAATACGAGGTCATAATCTGTCAAAACATCAAAAATCATCCCTGGCAAAGGGAATCTCAGGTTGGCTTCAAAACTATCCAGATATACTAGAATCCATCCGTGGGGTGCCCTTGAGCAAGCTTTCTCCCATTTTGAGGCCACACACACCAAGACAGTGTTGGGGATCTAGTGGTTCCTCACCACTTCATCCAACCTTTTTAGGCTCTTCATCATTAGTTTGTTGTCCGCCACTTCGGGATGGAGGGTAGCTTTGAATCTAAAACCGGCCGGCAAATCCATTGGCACCTCTCGGATGTTGCTTGCCCAGTTACCACAAGAAGGTACCATTTCCCATTTCGCCAATGCCTGCTCATCCACCTCTTCGATGGTAGTCGCTTCCATTCAGCCTCTCATCTCCTCTCCCCCTTCATCATTTTCTGTCTTGATTTCTCGAGACGACACTAAAGATGAAGATGGAAAACTTTCTAATGGGATAGGTGCATAAATATGCGGCCTGTCTTACAACGCCGATGACATAATCATGGCTAGCGGTTCCATAGAAACTACCCCTTCTTCCCCTTTCCAGTTACCCCAAAGCTCTCGTGATTCTCTAAAAAATTCCATCTGTACCTATGTTTGTCTATTAGTAATAGTTGCAAAAAACTAGAAAACTTGTGCGCCTAAAAAAATGGTCAGAGAGCAAAACACAGAGAGCAAAATTTAGAGTGATAATGAAAATGAGATGAACTGTCTGAGGAGATGTTTCCAATTTTCCTTTTTACTCATAACATTACATATACCTTGATTCTCGTACCCACGCCCTTACGGTGGCCAATGAAAACAAGCCACGTGACAACCACTTATTGCTCAGCATTAAACTTCGCCACCCTTAATTGTCACGTCTCTTAAAATGTTGTGTCAACATTTATTGAGGAGGACAAGTAGGATACGAACTAGCCAAAAGCACATCTTCTAAGATTTGCTTTTCAAAATTTGAAATTCACAATGGGTGAGCCTGTAAACGTCACCCCTGGAGGATGAAAGGTCCAAGGAAAACTTGACAAAATTTGACAAAACAGAAGGGTGAGCTCGTAAGCATGAGCTCGTAAGCTCAGCTCGGCAAAATTCTGAAAAGATGTTTATTGCGACCAAGTTCATTACCATATCATATGGCCCAATCTACCCAATCGTTATGGTCAGCTTGTCAAAATCAATTTACAAGTCAGCTCGTCAAGACCAATGTTGGGCCAAAGTAATTACTATGATGGTTTATAAATCAAACATTGAAGGGGAAGTAATGTTGGAGAATATGCCCAACATCAACAATTAGACCCAAAGGATTATGTAAAATTCAAAAGTACAGATATAATAATCATAACATTTTCACATGACAAAGGATAACTGTACCAATAAAGTAATGACATATGACATCATTATCATGAATAGGATTTATAAATATCTTTAACTACTTTCATATAAGATAATAACTCCATTTTACTTTTCTCTTTATAATATCTCTTCCTCAAAAGTTTTTTTCTCTAAATTATAGAGTATAGAGTATTGTTTATTTGAGTGTCGAAGTGTCTATCTCGAGAAAACATTGTCAAATTTTTCAAGTACTGAGGCGGTTCAAGATCTCTATGGTACGAGTTCATGAAGTTGCCCAAACAGTTATGATTCTTAATTTATTGATCAGGTGATGTTGTATTAGCTTGTGGAAGTTTGGATTACTTTGCCTTGGCAAAATTCCATTTTTGGTGTTTTGAACTGTTAAGTTCTTCAGTGCTACAGTTTGTAAGTTCAAACTGAAGACGAGAATATGAATTTTGAATGTACAGATCAATTAGATGATCTTTCTGGAAATTGAATTGATTTTTTCTATTTGGTCCTGAGTGCATGCATTGCCTCATGAACGTCTGAACCACAATCCTTGAAAACTGGAACTAATTATTTTTCTTGAAAATTCATTTGGAACTATTATTTTCCTAAACATTCTTTTCCGCAGAAGTCACTTTGCTTTGTACCATATTATCGACATTCAGATTAGTACCAGAAGCCTAATCCCTTTGACACCAATCTGGAGATTGGAAAGGTAGTGTTAAAATGCAAACGAAGAAAAGAGTATCAGGAAGAAATGCTTCTCGAGGGCCTTCCAGTCCTTTCACTTCAAGATCTCAAAAGAAGATTTCTGAAAATGCACAAGTTTCGAAGAAGAAAATGAAAGAGCTAATTACATCTTCAGCTAGAAAGCAGAGAGCTGGTATGTTGCTGATTTTTTTCCCATTTGTTCAATTTATTGCCAATAACTTAGTTATTTTTGTTAAGTTTAATGAGGAGCACTTTTGGCATGGTAATTTATGTGGTTTTCATGAGTTGGAATATCTTAGTAATCTTTTGTAGAGGTTTAATCACAAGGATTTTCATTCGAAAGCTCGGTATGGTTTGGTCCACAATAAGACTAACGATATTTGTTTGGTATATGATGCAGCTGAAGATGTTCTTGTGGACTGTAAGGTAAACTGTCTATCTATGAACTTCTGGTTTGCATTGTTGTGGCTGTGGGAAAATGTCAATTTAATAGCGAAAAAAAAGGAAGGGGAATGAAAGAACCGTTTAAGAGACCAAAGTTTTGGTTGTGATTTCTTCGATTACATCACAGGATTCTTATGAGGAAACTGCTTATCAAATATCGAAAAGGTTAAATGTTAAATTTGGTCTCTCAACTTTAGTGAGTTGCACATTTTTGGTCCCTTAACAATTTTTTGCACTTTTTTGATCCTTCAACTATACGAAATGCACTCCGTTAGTCCTTCTGTTAATTTCGATCGTTAATTCGCTTACGTGGCATTTTTTATAATTTTTTTGATGACATGGCAAAAATAAATTGAAAACATGTTAGACGTGGAATTTTTTTTATGCCAACTCACATTATTACTTTTCTTCTTCCTTTCTCTTTTTCCTCTTCCTTTTCTTTCTTTTTCTTCTTCCTCGAGGGAACCCAGCTCTGGGTTCCATCAACCCAGGGTTGGGTTCGGTGGAACCCAGCACTGGGTTCCAGCGAACCTAGATCCTGGGTTCGGTGGAACCCAACTCTGGGTTCGCTGGAACCCAGTGCTAGGTTCCACCGAACCCAGATCTAGGTTCGTTGGAACCCAACTCTGGGTTCCATCGAACCCAGCCCTGGGTTCGTTGGAACCCAGAGCTGGGTTCCCTCGCTGGGTTCCCTCGAACCCAAGGCTAGGTTCGGTGGGACCCAGCTTCACTTTTTTTTTTTGTGTTTATATGATTGTTTGCCAAGAAATTCTTCAAATTGCAGGTTGTTGCGAGGGATTTTTGAATAATTGAGTTCAGTGAATTGAGCTGGATTCGATAGAACTTATTTGCTGAATTACATCGAACCCAGATTTGCCGGATTCCGTCGAACTTCATAACCGATGGGCAAAGAAGCAATTGTTAGTGGTGATGTGGGACCCATTTGGTGTGTTTTCGCCATGTAGCATGTGACATGGCAAAAGTTTTATCCATGTCATTACTTTTTTAAGTTTTCCTCTCCACATCATCAAAAAAAAATATAAAAAATGCCACCTAAGCAGGGTTAACGGCCCCAATTAACAGAATGACTAACGGAGTGCATTTCGTATAGTTGAGGGATCAAAAAAGTGCAAAAAATTATTGAGGGATCAAAAATGTTCATTTCTTAAAGTTGAGGGACCAAATTAAGCATTTAATCTATCGGAAACTATATTTTCCCCCAGCTTTCACTTATCTAAGATTTCTGGAGGAGACATTGCTAGTGCAGGTAGTGTACCCATTTAACATGTTTTTATTTGCATTTGATCTTTGTTTTCTCCTATAAAATGCTAAGTTCAAATTCTTTTGAAATGAAGATGGTGCACTGGATCAAACAGAAAGTAGCAGGCTGGATGGTCAAACCACTCGAGAAGTTCTAAAATCCAATTCTGAAGAAAAGATCCTTGCACTGGATGCAAGTGCTGTGAATCCTTATTGTAATGCTGATTCAGATGGAGTTACTCTTTCATTTGAAGTCTCAGCCAAATATCTTGCCATGAAAAACTCAAAGCTGGAATGTGTTGATGAGCACAGTCAAGATCCTATGTCAACTGATGTTCGTGCGGAGGATGAATAATGTGAGGAGTTTGATGACTTTGATCCATATTTATTTATAAAGAACTTGCCAGATTTATCATCTGTTGTCCCAACTTTTCGCCCTTTTCTGCTGCCTAAACAGACCAGGAGTTGCCCTACTACCACTCTTGTATTGGATTTGGATGGTAAGAATATTTGGATGATTATTATTATATATGTTTTTATTCTATGCTTATAGACGAGTCCATAGAAATATTATTAAACATGGTCATCATTCCTGGTTATCATGCAGAGAATATTGGTGCATTTCCGATTTCCGAATCTTAAATCTAGTTCTTCCTTTTGCTCATTTTTTTAATGCTGACAAAGTGAACGTATAATGTTGCAATTTCAAGTTGTTTATGGGAATACTGGTACCAAAAGCAGTAGCTACCGTATGATGCCTGTTTTCTCATTAAATTTTTTCTTCTTTCCTAAAATATGGTTATCTCCACACTTATAGTTTAGCAAGGACTTTATGCCAGTATCAAATATGGTATTGATTTTCAATATATTGATTTTGCAGAAACTTTAGTTCATTCCACACCAGAGCCTTGTGATGATGCAGACTTCACATTCCCTGTAAATTTTAATTTGCAGGAATTCACAGTCTATGTTCGATGTCGTCCATACCTCAGAGACCTTATGGAAAGAGTTTCCAGTCTTTTTAAAATCATTATATTTACTGCTAGTCAAAGTATATATGCAGAGCAACTACTAAATGTGCTTGATCCAAAGAGGAAAATTATTCCTCCTCTTGTCTTTCGTGAATCGTGCATTTTTGTGGATGGCAATTACCTCAAAGATTTGACAGTTCTCGGCCGTGATCTTGCACATATTATCATAATTGACAATTCTCCACTGGTAAATTCATAGCTCCTCTCACATGAATCTATTGCTTCTTTAAGGAAATAAACCTGCCTCCACGTCCACCCCTAAGCCTCCTGGCTGAAAGAAGGGAAGGGGAAGGGGAAGGGGGGAGGGGAAATTCTTCTATGAACAAAGTCACATGTTTATTGTGGTGAATGTCATATTCAGGGACCAGGTATCATTATCTATTCTCACATTGGTTATATATATATATATATATATTCAGAACATTAAAATTTGTATGACAATGCTTGGTGGTTTTCTTCTCAGGCATTTGGGTTCCAAGTGAACAATGGGATACCAATCGAGAGCTGGTTCCCGTTAAGATCAAGAACTGTCCTTATTACTACCGTTTTTGGAGAGCTTGGCCAGGGTTGAAGATGTTAGGCCTCTCATTGCAAAGCAATTCAATCTTCGGGAGAAAATAGCTGCAGCCATCTACCCTCCTTTAACTTCAAGCAGAGTCCTTTTTGAAACTTGTACAATGTGAAACTGAAAGCTTTTAGTTCAAATGTGAAGTGATTTTGTCTTGTGCACTGTGTTGTTACATGTTAGACATTACTTCTTAGGATAGCCGGGTCTTTGCATGACGAAGAGTTCAAGTTTAGCGTTGATTCCAATAACAAAAAATAGGAAGTAATCTATAGTGTAGGAATGTCAAACTACTGAAAAGATTGACAGATGCTTGTTTGCCAAACTTCTCTACAGCCTACAGGTGTTTGGTCAACGGTATGAATCATTTTGAGCACCACTCATAATTATCTGAACCTCTCAAGGGTTCTGGAGTCTTCTTAGGCCTTCTGTGGCTTTGGCTTCCGGCTTAGTTCTTAACTAGATCTTTTCTCCGTTTCGCTGTTGCTCCAAGTATTTGAGAAGGTTGGCAAATCTCTCTATGTCACACATTCTTAACCCCAAGTATTTTGTAGTGTGCATTCGATGATATACTTGTTCGGTGCTCTATTTTAAAATTTTCTGCTTTTCCATATTTATAATTGGATTTACTTTGATGTTGTGTTTTAAAGTAGCCTACTGCTTGCACCGAGCCCTTCGGGCCAAGTGGCAATAGCCACTCATGGTGCATTCTCCCCTTCTCCAGGGTTGGGGTTCGAACCCAGCCTCTTGTAAAATCTGTTCAAAAAAAAAAAAAAAAAAAAGTAGCCTACTGCTTAGGGTAGCTAATGCTTGGTGCTTGTTTCATGCTTCTTTCAATTTTAATGTATATTTCTCTTGGGGAGGATTTGACTGTTGCTGGATTGAGCTTTCTCAGCTAACTTAAATTTTGATGTGATTTAAATTAAATTAAATAGACATAAGATTGATTTCAATTGAACATATGTGGGTATTATTACAAAGTTGTTTGCTAGATGTTTGATAAAATGCCTTGGGGTGTGCTTCTTCGCTAACTGCTCTGTTTATCTAAAATTTAGAACATATGCTAAACATACTTTATTCAGTTATTCTCAACAAACTATGAAAAATTGAAAATAAAAGGAAGCTGGTTTCATCCCAGCAAATATTCACCAAAACATTCAAACATGTAAACTGGTAGTATGTTTGGACTATTCAGTTTCTATAAACACACATGCTGAGCGTTTACAGCATACACAGAAATTCAAATCAAGCGTAGCAGATTTAATCTTTCCACTGCCAGCATTCAAAAGATTTCACTAATGAATTCTGAGCTTCATGCATCACAGAAACATAATTAATAAATAGCCCTAACTCCACAATTGGTAAAAATATAAAACTGTAATCAACATGCAAATCAATTTTCTGTACAGCTTGTCTCTGCACAACTCACACAGAAACAAGTATTATTGCTCCAGAGGAAAGAAATCGCGAAAAATAAGAAATGAGGATGGAGTGATGCCTATTGCAAGCCATTAATTCCATCTCTACGGTTATTTTATTGGCCTTATATCTCTATGGTTAGGTGTAATCAGCAGTTCTACACTTCTAATAACTACTTCAACATAAACAATAAATCTAGTCCTAGCCAGAGAAATCATTATTTGTAGACATCCTTTAAAATTAATCTCAGATGAAGTGCAACACCAACAATGGTTACAACATAGGTACTCAAAAGGGACTTCCTATTGCTCAAAAACTAGGATACTCATAAACAGCATATATGAATGAAACATGGCTAGAATGCAGTTCCTGATAAAAAGTTATTTTTCTTAATTTTCATGGACTTTGAAATGAAAAAAAAGTAGTGTGATATGCAGCATACATGTATAATCTTTTCCCCCCTTGAAACAAACAGAATTTGACATACCAGCTCTGGTGATGAAAGGAATAGAAAAAAAATCAACTACAACAGAGATCAAACAGTGACAACAAGAAAATTTTGTTTATGATACGATGGACACAACAGTTCATTGCAACGAAATATATTCCAAACCCAGCTATAATTTAACCAACCATACTATATTACACTGTTCCATAATGCTCATGTGCATTGCTTGCATTGCAACACAAATTGAAAAATAAATAAACCATCACAGACATGATCAAAACATGCAATATCCAACATCCCAAAACCATCAAAAGGGTGAAAATCACACCTTCATGTGGAAGAGGTGTCATAGCTCTTCTCAAGAAGGTCATCATAGGGGTCCCGACGACCTGGGACCTGGCTAATCTGGGCATCCCAGCGGAGCTGAGCATTGTGACGCTCAAACGTCCAGAACCCATAAGGACGCAGAGGATAACTCCACATCTCCTTGGTTTTGTTGCATCGATCCTTGGTAGAGTAAACGTGCTCCCTAAACTTTCTATCCCTCTCCTTCGGATCCTCCATCAACCTCAAAATCAAATTCTCCGCAAACTCCATGATGAACCCCATTTCCTCAAACCCTAACTAATCGAGATTTTCACTTCCCTAAACAAAATTGATCTAATCAACTATGATTGAATCTGAATTTGGAAAAACTGCTACAATTATACAGAAAATGAAACAGACAAAGAAAAATCGATTAGAATAGGGCGGATCGGCATACCTTTTCAGAGCTGAAAACTCCGGTGCAGCAGTTGAGCGTTCTTCCTTCTGAGATCAGAGGTAGTTGGAATCTACTGGAGAAAAGAAAAGGTTAAATGCCAAATTTGAGTCCCTGAACTTTCAATTTTGAAGCTTTTTAGTATCTAAACTATTTTTTATACTTTTTTTGTCCTAAACTATAAAAAAGGATTTTTTTTTTTTTATCTTTCAGTTAATTAATTCATTAAATCTATTCATATATGCACAATTTTAATCTATAAAATTACAAATTTAGAGAATAAAAATAAACATATATATCTTTTCAAGTATTGTTTAAAAAAAATGAACATATATCAATGTTATCAAAAGTGGTCGCTTCGTCACTTAAAGTGATGGAGAGGACTACTACTTCAAAATTCTTTAAGTGCTCTACTTAGAAAAGGTGGTCCCAAAGCAATTAAAGCAAAGTGAAACAATAAAAGCGCTCTAATATTAAAGCAATCACTTTTTTAAAAAGATCCAAAATGACAAAAAAATCACTTATAAATAGAAAAAATATAGAAGCATTACGGATAAAATTTAAATTTTGACTCCAATTAGGGCAAAAAAAGGAAGTTTTTGTGCCTGTTGACTACTTCTTCCCCTAATTTTCTCTATGACTTCATTGTCTTCTTACTTAATCATCATCTCGAGTCTCAACTTAATCTATTCATCTGCGATTAACAAGAAAGTTCTTTCTTTTTTCTTTTTTTCTTTTTTACATATTCTCCTTCTCATCTCTTCTTCTTCCTTGACTTCATCCTCTTCCCTAGATTTATTAACATATTCTCTTCTTTCTTTTATCAACAGATTATTTTAATTTAGTTAAAATAAAATTTCATGGATATATGAACAACTCTTGTATTGTCTTAGTTCTATGTATTTCCTCTTTATCCCTCCTTTATTTTTTAGTTCTATTTCTTGTTGGTAGAACTTCTAGAGTTCAAATATATCTAGTTTAGGGGACCTTGATTAAGAAATTTAATATCATATTTGTATGGCACAAATTGAAATTGGTAACTTTTTCACTTTATATGACTCTTGAATTTTAATTCCAAAACAAAATTTAGTTCTACCTATACTAAATAAAGTAAAATTTAATTTAAATCTATTACTTGCACCCTATTCTACTTTTTCACTCTTAATACTCAAAGTTTCTATTCCAATTAGTTCTATTTTATTTAATAATCGATCACTTTAAGATGTTACTCACTTCATTTTAAAGAAGCAATCACTTCGCTTCTCGCTTCATTGCTTCAACATTTTTTAAGCCATCATTTCACCTTGCTTTTTGCCTTTAATAATATTAACATATATTACAAGTTTAAAGGCTATAAACGTACACATTTGGATAGACTTGGACTAATTGATGGAAGGACAAAAAATGTGCATTTTCAAAGTTAATGGATAAAAAATGTGCCAAAAAAGCTGAGGGATGAAATTTGTTCAAAATTAAAAGTTGAGAGACTAAATTTGTCATTTAACCAAAAGAAAATGCCGATGACTGTTATTTGGGTTAAGGCCTACTGGCTGCACAGAGGAAATTGCAATTTTGGGCTGCCAAGGCTGATTATTACTTATTAGTGAAAATGGTCGGCCCCAAACTGGCTCAGTAATCTTGTAGGCCTTCGGAGAGATAGGCCCACACTGAAATCATTGTAAAAATATTTGGTGTGTCTCCCTTTTTATTTCTTGAATATTTTTCTGTTTTGAAAAGAGAAAGGGAAACTTCTAGCTAATACCAAGAAGGGCTTTGTGTATATATATATATATATAAATACTAAAAAGAGCTTGGTTAAGTTGGTTTTTATTAATTTAAAAGCATTAATTTGAGATTGAAATCTAAAATTCAAAACTTTGTAATATTTAGTAGTTAATTTTTGATCGTATGAGAAAAAAATATTTCTAACTGAGGAGTGATTAGTACAAATAGGTGTCAATCCAGCTGGAGATTATAATTAAGCACTTTGCTTTCAAAGCTTTCCACCTAACACTTGTTCCTTTTTGTTTAACTCTATAATTTGGGTGCTTAACAAGGCCAACTAATTTAGTACCCTTTCTAGATACTTTTGTCTGTAGACAAGAAGCATTTCTGCTTCAATCTATTTTCCATTAATATGGGTATATTTAGTTTGAAGAAGATAGAGAGAATGAAGAGGAGAGAAGAGGAGAGGGGAGAGAAATTTTTTATTTAATTAAATTAAGACATTAAATTAAAATCTTATTTTGATTGAATGAAAAAATTGCCTCCTCTCCCTTCCCTTTCCTTCTCACCAAACACAAACAAATGTTTCCTTATTCCTCATTACTCTTTTTTTTTTCGGTTTCCTTTTCGTAGATGGGCTAGCAGCCTACTCAGAGGGTTTTGCAAACCTCAATCAAATGTTCGTGCTGGGTAGACTTTCTTGAATTAAATGACTTGGTAAACTTTCTTGAATTTTTGTACCCTGCTATTTCTCTTGATTGGCTCCGTAGGCACAAGCTAGTGTGATGATTTTGGTCATTGTAATTTGACGTGTACGGTGGGAGCACCTTTGAACTCCCTTTAATATAATTTTGTTTATTTAAAAAATTTAATGAATATTTTTATATTATTAATAAAAAAATTATTTTACAATCTGTATCATATTAACTGCATAACAATAATCCTTAAATTAAAAGAAAACTCCTTCATTTTGTGTTACTTTTTTTATCTAATTATTTTAATTTTATAATTTAATATAATTTAAATGATAAAATAAGTAACACTTTTCGATCTCACGAATTGTATTTCATTTTATCAAAAGTCAATGCATGTTTTTTGTTTGTTGGTTACACCAAACCGTCCTTATATGTTACCAGTTAAAAAACAAAAAAAAAAAAAAAAAAAAAAAAAAAAAGGCAAAAATGTGTATTTACCCGTTTACTCTTTGTGATCATTGAAATGAATTTAGGTACTTTTTCTTGTAAATATATCACTTCTGTGTTATTTTAAATTTTCAATCGAGACGTTATTCTCTTCCAGTCCATTATAATAAAACCTAAATTATTAAAAATTAATTTCTAGTGGGGGCACTGATACGATGACCTCAAATAAAGTATATATGCTCTTGGTACTGCTCAACCAAAGCTTCATTGTCAAAATACCTATTCGAAATTTTCTTTTGGTTGATATCAAATTCAATAACCAATAACAGTTGACTTGACTTGGAAAAAAGAAAGGGGAGGGAGATTTTAGGCATGATACTGCATATTTTGGTTTGTTGGACACAAGTTTTGGCATGCAAAACGTTTGGTAATCAGATGTGACATTTTTACAAATCTTTTTCTTAACCCAATTAAGTTCTTCTCTTTGGCATCTCCATAACATTAAAAAGAATTAATTAGATTGTATATCTTAACCGCAATCTTTTTTTTTTTTCTCCCTTTAAACTTAGGTATTGATTCTTACAATATCAGAATGGACCAGAAAAAAAAGAATGAAAGTGGGACATTTGGAATCTTTATCTCCCTTCTATTAATATAATCTGTAGTTCATAGTACATGGAGTTGAATGTTGAATTATTTTTCTCACGGTTTGTAGTCCAGTCATTTTTTTTTTATCAGCAAAACAAAGTGAAATCATATTATTGTAGGAGTATAAGAAATACTCCTTCATAACAATACACTGTCTAACCGAATACAAAAACCAACTGAGAACAAAGTAGAAATGGAAACCCAATAACCCAAATACAAACCAAACAGAAATGAGGACTCATAACATGAGAGGTTGTAGCTGCTTGTAATTCTTCAAATCTTTACGGTATTGAACAATGGCTTCCCTACAATCCATAGATTTTGATACCCAATCTGTATAGGAGAACACACAACCAGATTCTTTATTTTTAAGCCATAGAAATGATTTAACCTGGATAGACTCCAATATCTGAGCTTCAGTCATAGAAACAGTTTGAAACACCTTGATATTCCTCCGGTACCGTACAAACCAAGCACTAACCAAAAAAATAAGAGCTCCCAACTCCTTCAAACTTCCCCCACCTATTCCATACACCACATACTCCACCAAACCAAATATATTATTTGGTAAGACACTCTGCAAACCCCACCAATCCAAAATCTTCATCCAGACTATCCACTCCCCTTTACACTCACAAAAAATATGATGCAATTGCTCCACCCCCTCATGACAAAACCCGCATCCAACATCCTCCCCTATCAAAACAATCCCTCTTTTACATAAATTCTCCTTTGTGGCCAACCTATTCAAAAATAATCTCCACCCAAAAATACTTAATTTAGAAGGAACATATTTACTCCAAATAATTTTAGACCACTTCCCATCCAAAATACTTACTTTCAGTGTTAAAAAATCATACGCCACCTTTACAGAATATGAACCATCTCCACTATGTATCCATCTCCATGAATCTACTCCATCTATCCTCAACTTTACACCATTAATCAACTCCCTAAGCTGTTCTTCCTCACCAGTAGCCTTCCCTATACACCCATGTCTCCACCTACAATCCCATACCCAACCATCAGCACTCCAAAGACCCATATCCTTTAACAACCCCTCCCTATTTGTAGATAAGGCGAACAACCTAGGAAATAAATTTTTCAAAGGCTTTTCTCCCACCCATTTATCACTCCAAAAATTCACACAACTTCCATCCCCCACTTTCCATTTAAAGCCCCTTACTAGCATCTCCAATAGCCTTTCAGACCCACTACCCACACTCACAATGTCCTTCCACACCCGAGACATATTTAAAGATGCAAATGAAGTAACTTCAACCTCCTTTCGACCCCCATAATATTTCTCCCAAATCACCCTCTTCCATAAACCCTCTAAACCATCTCCTAACCTAAACCACCATTTACCCAAACAAGCACAATTCCTCCTCTCCAAATCATCCACTCCTAATCCACCTCTCTCCTTATCCACACATATACTGTCCCAACTAACCCATGGAATCTTTTTATCCAAATTCACACCACCCCAAAAAAAATTCCTTTGAATTTTAACTAACTCAATAAGCACACATTTAGGAATTTTGAACAAAGATAAGTAAAAAATAGGGAGAGCAGAAAGTACCAAGTTAATTAAGGTAATCCGACCTCCAAAGGACAGTAGTGGGCTTTTCCACGAGGCAAGCTTAGATTGAAAACGGTCCAGCACTGAATTCCAAAACTTTTTCCTCCAGTCATAACTTGTTGGTTGATTCTACTCTAGATATTGAACATTTTTTTTTTTTTCCACAGCGAGCTAGAACCAGGTTATGTAGACTGTTTTGCCATTGCGAACGTTGTTTGAGAACCCACAGATCTCGATTTTAGCCCTGGCAAGGGGAAACCAAATTTGGGTTCTCACATATTGGCAACCCATAAAGCTTTGAGATTGAAGGAATAAGTTTAAGAACAATTTTTTGAGCTCAAGACGCAAGTATGTAGTGTAATGGCTTAATGAATAAGAGATAATTATTTTTTTATTATACAAAAAAAAAAAAAAAAAAAAAGGGGACAATTTGAGTGACCAATCTAGGCATTAAACCCTTTATTTACGAGACAATTCCCTGCCCTTAAATTTTGTTTCCCACTCACAAGCCACAGCTTGATTTCCCATCTTCTGCCCTTAAACGCGCTGTTCTAGGCTTGAACCACCTTTTTGATTAAAGGTTAAACCCCCTAGTTTAGTCCATCAACTATTATATAGATTCTTGAATTAGCTCATGAATTAAAAAAATCTTTGATTTAGTTTCTAAAGTTTTTAAATTTAATTCTATGTTAATCCCTCCGTTAAAAAACAGGTAACATGTTTTATTATTAATATAATACATGATTGTCAAGTAATAACCTATTGCTATTAAGTAATAAACATGTTAATTGGTTTTTAATAAAGGAACCAACTTAAAGTTAAATTTAAAAATTTTGAGGGTCAAATCATGAATTCTTTTAGCTTATAAATAAGTAAGGGGTCTACATAATAATTAAAGAACCAAATTGAGAGTTTAACCTTGATTAAATTGTTTGTGAATAGTGACAATAAAAAAGGAGGATGGAATAGGAAAGGAAACAAAAATAAATTAAATGATAATAATGAGAACAAAAATATAAAAGTAATACGGAATCTAAAACTTACAATAAATTGTACAACAATAACCATTAAATAAAGAGTGATTTTTATATCTAGGTCATCTTTTATTTAATAGTATATATTTTATTTTACGGTTTAATACAATTCTAATGAGGAAGCAAAAAAGTCAAATGGTAATTTCAAGAAAAAAAGAGCAAGTGCACCCCACAAACCAAGATGCCTTCTTCCATGGGCATATATTTTTCTCATTTTGTGTTGATTTCGTGAGCTGTGGAGTCAAAGCTCACTACCTTTCATGTTCCTTTTTCTTCTGCATTCGTTAATGTCTTCTGCGAATGAAGACGAAGGTACTAATTCACCAGCTCCTATCGCCAAATGCTCCTCCTTTTCTGCCCATTTTCTCCCAGAAATTTGCTTCCTTATCTTCTCTTTTTGGTCAAACAATTTAATATAACTACCTTCTATTGTAGTCTTTGATCTTAATTTCAAATTTTTAATTTAAAAATTACTTTCCCACTTTAATGGTTTTGAAATTGGGATCACACTTGTTTTGACAATTAGGAAAAGGGGTTTCTTGCCTTCACAACAAAGTCGCAGTCGTCTGTTTCTTAGACATAAACCAGAGATAGTCTTTAATGGTGGTTCGGTTATTCACCTCGTTCGTACACCTAATTTTGTTTTTATTGGCCCTCGGAAGACAGGCAATTTCCTTCAATGATCTAAAATGAATGCCCATTTCTAAGAAAAAAATTGAAACTGACTGTTTGATCTCCAAGTCCAACGTTGAATGCCAGAAAACGATTTGAGAAGTCTAAGTTTGAAAAACAGAAACGGACAAAAAGGGGAAATTTTACTATGCTATTTTCAAACGACTAACGAAATTTTGGCCAAACCCCTTGTTATACTTTATATATTATTATTTTTTATAATTAATACTTTGTAATTGGTAATCAATTTTAAATTTTTTTCATGTTTTAAATTATAAAAAATATTAACCAAAAATAAAAATTTTACAAGATGTTGATTATAAAAAAATAATAATATTTGAATGTAAATATGGAATTTTACTTAAACTTTTTGACAATAGTATAATTATAGTATCATGTAATATTATAAATTTAATATTATGATATGTTATTAAATAAGTGTAATTTATTATTATATAAATAAATATATATAATATTATAAATAGATCTTTAATTAAAAAAGCTAATTTATAAGCTAATTATATAATTACAAATGGTATTATA